AAAAAAAAAAGAAAAGGAAATTTTAAGGTCACGGTGTCATAGAAATATTTTCTCAAAGTAAAAATAAGTCTATATAAAGAGAGGCATACCTTAAAAACAATTAACAGTCGTGACTTTTGGAGCACAGCATTGACTATATTCAAACACACATAATTCTTAAGCAAATTGTATAGGTAAAAGAGAGCATAAGTTTCAAACCATCAGGTCCAGAACTTGAGCTGCAGTCGGCCATGTGGGAATCCAGTATCTTTCCCAGATTGAGAGGATATGCTACATTTGTACCTGATATAGAACATGAGTTGCTGAAGCTACGAGTGTGACAGCATGGTTGGATCAAAATTAGGGTGTCCTGGGATAGGGCTGGCTGTATTATGTATGTGAGCTTAGGGAAGATTTCTTTTCTAATCCATCTCAAAGTTCATGGCCAAGGCTGCTATAACGCAAGATTAATAAGAGAAAACCAGGGGCCAGTGAAAGATACTGGACTCCCACATGGCCGACTGCAGCTCAAGTTCTGGACCTGATGGTTTGAAACTCATGCTGGGCATGTGTATGTGTGCCCAAAATCCCAAGAGGAGAATGATGCAGAAGGGATTGCAACATGGCCACCCCCCTTGGGGAGGGAGGTGATTTTGTGATAGGCAGTAAGTCAGTCTTGAGTGGGTAGCCCTAAGAGAAAAGCAAAACGCTCACCTAGCCCCGGGTGCCAGGAGGGCAAGGCAATTTGCCATCTTCCTTCCTTGGGGCCTGAGGGAAGAGTACAGGAATGATTTGTAGATTTTTCTCTTATCAAAAAAAACCCAAGGGAGCATTTTGGTCAACACCCTAATCCCCAAGTAAGCATTTTGGTCAACGCCCTAATTCCCACTAGGACGATGACTTAATTAGGCAGTCTAATTAAACAACCTGGCTCATACTGGGCATGAGCAATAAGGTAATCAAATTCCTCATTCCTTACCTATGAGAGAAGTGCGCAAGCACAGGAGAGGATTCGAATTCAAAGGAAAGACATAGGTAGTATGACAGACTTCCCACCAATAAATATTCATGATCACCTCTAGTAATAAAAGTAACAATTGGGAACCAGCAGTTAGCGTAATGGCTATGTCGCTGGACTCCCACGTAGTCGACCGCGGTTCGTGTCCCAGACCCGGTGGCTTAAAACTCATTCTTTCCTATTAAGTCTTCTTTTCTACCTACTCATTCGTGGTCGCGGTTTCATTTTGCACCTAGGGACAGATCTCTAATTTTAGTGATCTGGACCCAAAGAACCAAGGACATCACAATGCAGTTCGACATTCTCCCATCCGTTAACAATTTCTCTCTCTGTTTTGTTCAGCAAGCACATGTGCACTAGAGCATAAATCTCTCTGAAACAGAAAAGAGGAAAAATCACACACATTCATTTAATGTAAGTTTTTCATGACATAGAAAGCTCCAGAAATAAATGTCCAAAGAAACAAGAAAACCTGTATTTTTATGTTATTTGATGAAGAAATGGACCGGTGTGATGATATATGATTGGACAAAGGAGGTAAGATCTAATAATGGTAATAAACTGGGGGAAATTTAGTGAGGTCTGTTTGTTCAGATTCTTCTGTGTATGCCTGTGTCTTTAGAGATAAGGATGTTCCTTTCCTTTAGGTAAAGGGAGGGCACTTCTTCTATATGGATTTTATGACCTACTTCAGTGAAAGCTTAGAATATTCTTTCTAGGTATTATGACCTACCAGGGGGAAAGACCCAGAGGAAGGTGAGAGTGACTTTCCTGCATCTGCTACGTCCTCAAATGCCAAGGTACCATATTTTGGGGCAGCATATCCTGAAACCCAATATGAGGAGAGATATGAATAACTGTGGCCAGAGTAGGATAAAAATGGCTACAAATTTTCTCCCCTCTATGTCCTTTGCAATGTGTCTTCACAGTTTCCCCCATGAAAATGCAGAATTTATGTCCTACTCCATGAATTGAGCTGGCTTTGTGTCTTGGTCTGACTAATAGAATGTGGTGGAAATGATAATATACAAGTTCCAAGTCTAGGCCTCACTTTTGTTCACTCTTAGGCACTGTTGCCATGAGAACAAGTCTAGACTAGTTTCCTGAATGATAAGAGATATGTAATCTAGTCATTCCCGTTGCCTTAGGCAACAGTCAGCCAGTCGCTAGACATGCAAGTAAAGTTATCACAGATGAGCTATCTCCTAGCTGTTCTGCCAGTTGTACACAGGGACTGGCCAGAATCAGTTGACATTGGCCCAGGTCAATAGTACTGCCCAGCTGATCAGTAGACTTATAAGCAATGATAAATGCTATTGTTTTAAACCACAGAATTTTAGTTGGCTTCTTAAACAGCATTATTGTGACAATAGATAACATATAAATAGTACTGGAATAGTTGTCCAACCGGCCTCTCTTGACTCCATTCTTGGCCTCTTCACTTTCTTCTCCATACTGCTATAATAATGTTCTCTCTAAAGTGCAGATCTGATCATGCGTTTCCCTATTTAAAATTCTTTAGTGGGAGTTGGCAGATGACATAGTGATTAAGACACCGGATTCCCACATGGTCGACCGCAGTTTGAGTCCCCAACTTGAGGGCTTGCTTTCTCATTTTCTCTCTGTCTCCAGTAAGTGCGTGTGTCCCATAGCAAATTAAAACAATAAGAAGAAGAAGAAAGAAATAAAATTAAGTAATTCTTTAAAATTCTTCTCAGTGCTTTTCAAGTCTGTTATAATAAAGGTTATGGTTGGTAACATGGAACTTTATGTCTTATATGCTCATGTTTATATTTAAAAAAAAATACTGAATTCTGATGCATCTGGAGTAGAACCTCGGTTTGGTTGTTTGGAAATATGTCCATGAGTTCTCATACTCTTCTCTTCATGAGGTAGAGCCTAATTTTCCTCCCTTTAAGTGTGGATTTAATAACTAGTTTTTAATAAGTTCCCCTCCTCCCCAGCCCCAAGTAACCACTAATCTACCTTTTGTCTCTATAGATATGCTATACCTGGATCTTCAGTATAAATGGACTCACATAACATATGGTCATTTGTGACCAGCTTCTAGCACTTAGCGTAGTATTTTCAAGGCCTGTCTGAGCTGTGTCATGCATCAGTGCTTTATTCCTTCTTATGATGCAGTAGTATTACACTGAATGGATAGACCACATTTTATTTATCCATTCATCAGTTGGACACTGGGCTGTTTTCACTATTTGAATATAAACAATGCTGTTATGAATATTTGCTAACTGGCTGCTATGTGGATACATGTTTCCAATTTCTTAAAGGTATACCTAGCAGTGGAATTGTTGAGTCACATGGTGTAGACTGTCTATAGAAATAACCAACTCTGAAAGTAATAATTACTGTGGTTTATTTCTAAGCAGAATATGAGTGACCAAGGCCCAGAAAGGAGACAAAACATGTCTTTCTCAGTGTGATCAGGTTCAAGGGTTCCTTTTATTTGATTCTGAGCAGGAGAGACAGAGTTTGGAGTTTAGTGAAGAGTTTTTCTATTGGTCTGGCCCAAAAAGGCGGGACATGTGTAAGGGGGACAGCTTGTAGGTTATAGGCAGGTTTACAGTTTTTACATTGGTGATTGGAAAAGAAAGGTTGCTGAGATCAGAAAAGAATGTATTTTAACAGAGATAAAGAGGCTTAATATACATAAAAAAGATACTATGCCAGGGGCAGGATGTAGGAAGAAACCTGTTACCAATGGGTCAAAGCAGTCTATTACTGTTTGTGGGGATGAATCCCTTTAGGCCCTCTGGAAAGGATTTTAGAAAATAGGAAAAAGCAGTCAGACTTCTGTTCTCAAAATCTATGTTTAATACTTTGAAAAACTATAAAAACCATGTGCCTGGTAAACTCAGGGCAGTCTCCACACTAGAACCAGAAACCTTCCCAAGTTGGATTGTCATGCCGCTAATATTCTCCCTCAGAAGTTCTTTACAATATCTTATCTCATTAACACTTAAACTTAGGATACTAAATCTCTCCCTTCTTCCTATACCACTTCCTTATCATTAGCACACATTCTGCCAAATCTTATTCTGATATAACTGGCCACAAGATAGTAGTTGGATAGCTATGACTTTTCTATACTGTTCAAATTATTTTTTTTAAACTCTAAAGTAGCAAGTCCCCATTGGCTGCAAACCCATCCGTTAGAGTGATCTATATCATGGGTTATGAAAGAATTCAGACTCAGAGAGTAAGTGAATAGAAAAGACTGATCCACTTTCCAAGGGAAGAAAGGGACAGATTCAGAGAATTACTTTGGCCCTGAAGGGTGTTTTTGTGTTTGTTTGTTTTAAGAATTACTGGAGCCAGCGGGTGGTATGGTCATTAAAGTGCTGGATTCCCACCAGGATGAACATGGTTTGAGTCCAGGATCTGGCAGCTTGCTTTCTCCCTTTCTCACTGTGGTAGGCAGTTAGATGGTAATGAGTGAGCAATCCTAGGAAGATAGCACAATGATACATGTCACATCAATCCCCATTTATCAGGAGTTACAACCAGACCCTCCATGAAATGCCTTCTTCCCACCCAGCTCCTGGTGCCAAGAAGGCAAGGCATACCATTTTTCTTCCTTGGTACCTGAGGAAGACACATAGAGTGATTGTAAATTTACCTCTTAGCATTCCTTATAAATACAAAAAGACGCAACCAGACATTTTGGTCAACATAGTCCCAGCTGGCTGATATAACCCTCACCTTTCTCTGGTTAGTTCACATACTCAATCACACTCTCACCCTTCTCCCCCCTATTCCCCTAGTTCTACCTTCTCTGTCCTCTCTGAGAAGTGGCGAGAATGGAGAATATTGTCAGAGTCCATGCTCCTGTTTCTCCAAAATCTATCTCAAATAAAAAAAAGACTTGATTCTTTCTCTGCTAACCCCATGGCTTTTATCAAAGAGTTCTGCTACCTTACTCAGGCTTATCTTACTTGACATGACCTCTATGTAATCCTGTCCTCCACCCTTACTGCAGATGAAAAAGGACGAGCCCAGGCTGCAGCCCAAAGGCATGCCAACCAAGCCCACCTGGTTGACCTGACTTTACCAGTTGGACAAGCAGCTGTTCCTAATACTGATCCTCACTGGAACTATCAGGTAAAAAACTCTGACCCAGGTAAAAAAATCTCTGACCCAAGAAACCGAGACTACAAAATCCAATGCTTCCTGGCTAAAACACAGGCTGTTTCTAACAAAACTGTCAATTTTGACGAACTCCAGAAAAATCACCCAGGGGGCAGATAAAAGCCCAGCTATGTTCCTCAATTTCCTTACAGAGGCCTTAACCCTTTATATATGATGAGAACCCCACTTTACCGGCTGAGGCCACAGTTTTGGTGTCTCACTTTATTACCCAGTCACAGCCCAATATCCGTAAAAAACTTAAAACGGCCAGAGGGATGGCCCTCAGACCCCTGTTCGTGATCTAGTAAAAGTGGCGTTTAAGGTTTACAATGCCTGGAAAGAAGTGGCTGAGGCTGGGTGCCAAACTCGCCTTCGCCGCAAGGTGACACTCCAAACCCAGGCCCTAGTAGCAGCCCTGAGGCCGGCGGGCCCCATAGTGGCACAAAATTAGGGCTTCCTCATCTAAGTCCGTTCCCCAAAGATCATACTTCAAGTGTGGGAACACGGGTCACTGGGCTTGATGATGTCCTTGTCCCAAGCCATGCCCCAAGTACAAACAGCCTGGTCATTGGAAAAGTGATTGCCCAATGGCTAACTATCCCCTGAGCCTCCACGCAGGGGACAAGTCAGTCAGATAGTCCCCTGTTTGAAACTTTTGGGACTAGCCACTGACTGAAAAGGCCAGACTCAAAGACCCCCATCACCCTCCTGAGCCCAGAATAACACTACAGGTAGCAGGCAAGTCCATCTCCTTGCTTATAGACACGGGGGCTACCTACTCCATTCTGCCCTCCCATTCGGGACCACTTTTTTCCTTCTTAGATCTCAGTCATGAGAATAGACGGCATACCCTCCTGCCCACCTAGGACAGCCACCCCAGTCTATCATACAAATAGACGACATTTCTCCTACTCCTTCCTAGTTATACCGTCATGCCCAGTCCCCTCCTGGGCAGAAACATCCTTCACCAATTGGAAGCTACTACCCAACCAGTTGCAGCCCTTTCTCCTCCCTCTCGTCTACTCATCCATTGACTCTAATCTCTCTGGCCTTCCCTCCTTCCCTCTTCCCCCTAAAGAAGTTAACTCTGTTGTTTGGGACACTTTTGTACCGGTTGTGGCCTCCCTTCAGTGACAAATCACTTCAATTGCCCCAGTAGCTCTTCAAAACGGATGCACGGATGCCCGCTAGACCTACTGACGGCAGATAAAAGGGGCACCTGTCTGTTTCTCATGGAAGAATGCTGCTACTACGTCAACGAAATGGGGCTGGTTGAACCAAACATCAGTGTTCTCAGCAGTCCTAGCAAAGAACCATAGCACCAGCAACAACAGCCCACTTCTCTTTTCCCAGACTGATGGCAATCTACACTCATCACCTAGACTGCCCCTATTTTAGGGCCATTCATTCTCATCTTCCTTGTCTTCAAGCTTATACCCTGTTTCCTCAGGTTCCTCTAAAGCTGAATACAGAAAGTTTCCCGAGTGGCTGTCAACCAAATGGGCATGTGTAGTTAGGTAATCAAATTCCTCTGATTCTTTACCTGTGAGAGAGATGTACAAGCACAGGAAGCAGCCCAGGAATTCAAACAAAGGACATAAGTAATATGATAGACCTCCCACTGATGCATATTCATTATCACCTCTGGTAATAAAAATAACACCTTAAACCAATTCCAAACACAACAGTTGCTACCTAGCAACCTGCCCACCCAAAAGTCTTTTGGGTGTACTTTCCTAAAAATCTCTTTCCTATTAAATTCTCTTTTCTACCTACTTTTATTGTGGTTGTGGCTTTAACACCTAGGGACAGGTCTCTAATTTTAGTGACCTGGACCCAAGAACCAAGGACTTTACACAATGCAGTTCAACACTCTCCCATCCAATGACATCATTTTTTCTCTCTCTCTCTCATCTCTTTCTGGTAAACATTCATGCCCTATTGACTCAGGAATGTGGGGGCACTAGGGTGATCAGGCCTACACTCCCAGTGGAAGTAGGTTCTTGTCCCATGCTCAAGAAGAATTAGAGCAACAGACACAGAGTAGGTATAGCAAAAGGGGGAGTTTATTAAAGGAAAGGGAAGGAAAAACAGAGCTCCCAAGAAGGGAGAGGTCCTGGAAAATGGGTTGCCAAAGAAGAACTATGGTGAGGGGTTTTTATTTGTGTCAGGAAGGGCTTTGTCTGGGCTTGTTCTAGGTGGGGCTTGTGCATAAGTCCCCTCTTGGTGGGGAGAGGTGCATGCTGGATGAGTCCAATTATTCTCCTAATTTTGGAGATTCTTTGCCTAGAAGCTTTGGGCCATGAAAACTATTATCTAGTCTTCTTCCTGGAATGTGGTGGGGCCTGGAAAAAGCCTTTGTTTTTAGGCCTAGGTCATGTTGCCTAGGTCAGTCACTGAGCTGCAAGAGGTCTCTAAAGAGCAATCAGCAGAGCTGTTTTTGTTCCATCTCAAAACTTAAGCCATTTTGTGATTCTATTTTGGGCCCATACCCTAACTATATTTTTAGGGTCCCTGTCACCTGTCACTATTGCAAATTTGAAACAAAATGATTGAATAAGTAAATATTTAACTTTATTTATCTTTTTTTTTTTTTCCAATTTGCTACAAGGGTACATGCACTCACCAGAGACACGGAGAGAGAGCGGGAAACTGGGAAAGCAAACTGCCAGTCCAAGACTCTGACCACGGTCAGCCATGTATGTGGAAGTCCAGCACCCTAACCGCCATTCCACCTGCTTCCCTGGGGGCTAGGGACTTATAAAGGAAAAGGATTTACTGTGGGGTGATTAAGGTGGTCCTGAGACAGGATGCCAGGTGGTCTTTTACAGCATCTGGGCTGTTACCTTGTTATCTCTGGGTGAGTCAGCCATCTGCAGTAGGATGAAGCACCCCCTCACACACACCCTCCTTAGGGTAAAAAATCTTGCTCTGATCCTAAGTGCGCGTCCCCTCTCACCCCATTGGCCAGATTGAGTTTAAACATTTATCCTTTAGACATTTACCCTTTAGACTTTATCCCTGCCAAGGACATTCAAGGCTATCAGAAACCTTGCCTTCCCTCCAGCAGTAGCCCAAGGTAAGAGACAAATATCCAAGGACTGACAACTTTAAAAAAATCAAATGCCAGAGGCATCTTGTGCTCTTCGCATTAAAATGTCTGGGAGGTACTAAATAGGCCCTTTCATCACCCATGCAAATGTGTTAAGAGTAATGACTCACTCCTGTTTTTCTTGTTTTACTCCATGTGTTTTGCTCCCTACTACTACAGAGATGCATTAGACTTCATATCTACCACAAATTTCCCATGAATCTAGAAATCTTCATTTAACTAATTCTATCCAAGAAATTCAAACTATGAGAAAAGGGGGAGTCCCTTTATTCACGTCATGCAGAGAACTTACCAAGAATTTGCTGTACAGAGCAAAATTACATTGTGTCTTTGGTTCTGTCTTCCTTTTAAAGGCTAGATAAACATCACGTGAAAGGTAAACTTAGCGAAAAGAAGAACTCGGCATATTGGACAGCGACCTTCGGGCCGCAGCGGCTGCGCATGCGCCACGCCTGCCGCCCGCTCTCGCCGGGAAGTACTTGGTTCTTTCCCAGTTCGGTTGTTCTTTTCCGGCTTTTCTCCAGGTTCCGTTCGAAACTTCCCGGCCTCGGCACAACCCTCCAATCACAAACGTCCTTCCTGGGCCACGCCCCCCCACCGCCCCCTGCGGGAACCCAAGCCCGATTTCGCGCGCACCCCTCCTCTCCTTACGCACGCGGCGCGTGGACGTCGCTTCCTGACGCCGTCGTCGCCCCCGCGCCGGCTCCCGCGCGGGCCGCCGCGGCCGGCAGTTTGGGCG